CACCCCGAAACCCCCCCGCCCCGGGCCGGGCCCCGGGGCGGGCGCCCGCCGGCCGGGAGCGAGCCCACCTGGAGCTGGCCGAGCTGGGGCCGCTCCTGGAGGAGAAGGGCGACCAAGGAGCCGCCGGCCCGGCCAGCGTAAGCCCTCCTTCGCCCCCCGGCCCCGGGGCCGCTCCTCCTCGCTCGGGCTCTCGGCTCCGTCCCTGTGGGTTAACGGGGGAGCCCGCCGCTCACCCCCGCAGCAGCTTGGAGGGCGCGGGCCGGCTGCGTTTCGCAGGGCCCCGAGCCCGGTCGCGGCTTCGCGTCAGCGCGGAGAGGCCGTGAGGTGTTGCGCTCCCCGCAAACGCTGAGGGTTTGGCTGGTCCCTGCTCCGAGCCGGCCCAGAAACTTCTCCAGGCGTGGAGCCGCCGTAGCCCCGGTGCAGGGATGGCAGCTCTCTGCCTGCCGGCGCCGCTGCTTGCAGCGTCCTCGCTCACGCAGCCCTCGGGCTGGAAATCACCGCCCCGAACCCGCTGACGGAGAGAGGAGCCGGGACGGGCAGAGCGTTCCCAGGCCGGGAGGTGCCGGGGAGCCGCTGCCTCGCCCTGGGCTCAGGGCTGGGGTGCAGAGCCGGGTTTCCTGGCGGGGCCAAGCGGCTGTTCCAGCCTTGGTTGTAGGGATGAAAATCCCCCACGGTAATCCCACCTTTCAGCAAGGACAAATCGGGGATTAGCCTGCCCGAGACGGTTAAGGCAGTAGCGTGTTGCATAAGCGGCGGGGGGCCGGCGGGGTGCCGGGCGCCCCCCGCCGGTCCCCTCGGGAAGGGATGAAGCCCCAGGTGCTCTCGGAAGGGACGTGCCACTCTCCGCGGGCAGGAATTATTTCCTCCTCAACGTTTCTCCCTCTAGGCTGAAGACCCGCCATGCCCAGCGGCCCGTGAGGAAGAGGAGGAGGTGGTCCGTGTGCTGACTCTGCCTCTGCAGGCTCATCACGCCATGGAGAAGATGGAAGAGTTTGTGTATAAGGTACGGGAGCTGGTAGCAATTCCCCAATCCTGATTTTTGGGGTATTAATGAGGCCTGGATGCCACAAGCCCGGGGCTGGGGGCGGCGGGCAGGGGCTGGGATGCGTCGCCCTGTCTGGGTAAAGCTCCCGGGGCTTCGCGCGGCTCTGCCAGCAGCCTGCTCCGGCTCCGCTCGCCGGGGCCCGCTCCCAGCAGCGCTGCGGGAAGGGGATGGCTGGGGGTGGGAAGTGCCAGTGGGCATCAGGGGTGGTTGCTCAGGCGTGCCGACGAGCGGCGACCTGGGGAGCAACCCCAGCATCTCTGCGTTCCTCTGACGGGGACTGGGAGCACCAAGCACCGTTGCTGGTGTCACCCGGTGCCTGTGCTCGCGGTCACCGCGGTTCGGTAGGCGGTGGCATCGGCTGAGGGCCAGCCTGCTTCTGTTGCCAACCGGGGCTCCCTCCTCCCTGACCAAACCGGGAGTTCCCCGCTGCAGGGAGCAGTTTGGGTGCCAAAGGGTTAAAGCTGAGGGTGCAAATCGCCTCTGGCTCCCAGGGGGGGGGCGTGGGGCTGCAGGATGTGGGTGGCTCAAGGGGTCCCGCAGGGCGCTGATGTTGCAGAAGCTGAACTTCCTCTTCCCGAGGAGCCTTACGGGGCCCGTGCAGCCCTGGCCGCGGGGAGGGCTCTGCTGGGCTTGTTCCACGTGCGGCTTTCGGCTCCCGGGGGGAGTAAACGTGAGCCTTCGGGCTGGCTCGACGCTCTGGGGGCCAGCAGCGCGGCTTGGCGTGTTGCAGGTGTGGGAAGGGCGCTGGCGCGTGATCCCCTACGACGTGCTGCCCGACTGGCTGAAGGACAACGATTACCTCCTGCACGGACACAGGCCTCCCATGCCGTCCTTCCGAGCCTGCTTCAAGAGCATCTTCCGAATACACACCGAGACGGGCAACATCTGGACGCACTTGCTAGGTGACTGGGAGGGTTTGGTAGCCCCGGGGCCGAGGGGGGGCTTGGCCCCCGCGTGCAACGGTGGCCTTTTACGGCCAGGACTCGCTTGGTGCTGGGGTCCTCTCTGTGCCCGCGGTTTCGCTTTGAGGATTGCATACCCCGGCCTGCTCCTGGGTGACGAGGTGCCCGAGAGCTCCCGGAGCGCCTTGGGCGAAGGGAGAGCGGGGCCCCTCCTCACAGCGGGGCCCCGGGGCCGGGCTCGGCAACCGTTCATGGCTTTGCCGACGTTCTGCGAGAGCGGGAGGGAGAAACGCGTCCTGGGCGGGACGGGAGAGCCTCGGCGCGCGTTCCTCTGAAACCCAGGGACGGGTCAGCGGCTCTTTGCCCGACCGTGCCCTCGCCCCCGGCTCCGCTTGTCCGCGCTAACAGCCCGATGCCAGGCCAGCCCCGGGTGCGACCGAGCACCTCTGGGTGCGACTGAGCACCTCCGGGTGCGCTGCGAGCAGGATACGGCCAGGGTCTGCCCTGCAGAGCACAGCCAGGGCCGCGTTTCTCCTGGCTCTTTCCTGAATTCGTTCGCCCTGCTTCTGCCACGTCCGCCTGACCGCCCGTTTGGCGTGTTCCCTGCAGGTTTCGTCTTGTTCCTCTGCTTGGGGATCCTGACCATGCTGCGGCCCAACATGTATTTCATGGCTCCTCTCCAGGAGAAGGTGGTGTTTGGGATGTTCTTCCTGGGAGCGGTGCTGTGCCTCAGTTTCTCCTGGCTTTTCCACACTGTCTACTGTCACTCGGAGAAGGTCTCGCGGACTTTTTCGAAGTGAGTCAGCACGGGCGCGGTGGCGCGGTCTCGCAGGAGGTTTTGAGTTCTCGCAGCGCTTCCTCTTGGAAAGCGCTGCCTTCCCAAACGTTTTACCCCTGGGGGAAGGGAGCGTTCACCCCATCTAGCGTGGAGCTGAGAGGGGAACCGCAGCTGGGTCCCGGAGGGCTCTGCCCCGTGCCGGAGCACCTTAAATCCTCCAGCTCCTCGGGTGGCTGATGAAGACGAGGGACCTTGGGAACCTGCAGCTCCTGAGGGAACGGCCTCAGTGCCCCTCGTAGCAGTGAATTGAGGCGGGGTCTCGGTCTCACTGGGCAGCCAAGGGGACGCAGCGGTTTGGCAGTTTCCAGTTTACCGGATGCTTTCAAAAACTCTGGTTTGGATCCAATTTGGAGTGAAACCAAATTGCAAGAAACAAACCAAACAGGATTCCCGGCAAAGCGGAGAGGCTGGGCAGCGGCCGGTGCCTCTCCCCGGGGTCGGCGCGCAGGCTGCTCTTACAGTTAAGCTCACGTCAGCCTTCACGGCACAGACAGGGCAGCAGCAAGGCTTTCAAAGAAGATCTTGCTCACGCAAGTCTGTCAGAGGCGTTTACTTGGGTGCTGCTTGCTGGGAAATCCTGCCAATCTCCTTTGCACAAACCCCGGAGATCCTGCGGGCTCCCCTCTGCAGAACAAACTGTGCCGCCGCGCCCTCAGCAGAAACGTCCTCGCGCACCGGGGATGCGCTTGCCACGGCCGCCGCGGCGGCGGGGGTAACGCAAGCAGCTGCGTTTTGGTGGTGAAATGGTTCCTGGATCGATAGATCGAAAGCACTTTGCGGCGGAGGATAACGGTCAAATCCATACGGGCAAGGACTCGCGCCCGCCCCGTCCTGTCACGGCGGTTCGAGCGCGCGGCCCCTCTCGTATCCAGCCGGCTCCTGTTCCTCCTCCGAGCTCCGCTGGCGTCCCCAGAAGCTGCCGACATCCCCAGCCCCTTTCTCCTGTCCCAAATCGCACTGACGAGACCCCAGATCCTCCCCTCTCTGACACGCAGCGTCCCCTGCAGGGCCGCGGCTGCCTGCCTGGCCGCGGTGACTCCGTTTGGGCGCGGGGCACCGCCACCCCCTTACCGAGAGGACACAAGGAGGGGGGTGGATTCGGGGGCTGAGCTGTGACTCTCTGTCGTTGCACCCTGGCTGCAGGTTGGATTATTCAGGAATTGCACTGCTGATCATGGGGAGCTTTGTCCCGTGGCTCTATTATTCGTTCTACTGCTCCCCGCAGCCAAGACTCATCTACCTCTCCATCGTCTGCGTTCTGGGCATCTCCGCCATCATCGTTGCGCAGTGGGACCGGTTTGCCACCCCCAAGCACAGGCAGACAAGAGCAGGTAGGAGTTCCTCCTCCTCACCCGGAGTCCCCAGCCCCGGGAGGGAGCTCGGGAGGGCGTCCGGGAGGCGCTTTGGGAAGATCCTGTTGGGGGATGGCTCTTCCCTCGTTTGGGAAGAGCTCTCGGCATCTGCAGAATTAACTCCCTCGGAGCACCACCCTGCCCTGCAGCAGCTCCCGGCAGGAAGAGCTCTCCTTCCTCCTCTCGCCGTGCGGGGGATTTCGATCCTCTGCTGAGTAGGGCCCGAGCTCCGCCTGGCACTCGGGAAGCCTGAGGTTTGGAGCAGATAGGCAGCATTTAAAAATAGCCCTGTAAGTGGCGGCTGGGTGGCCTGGGGCTGCGCCGCCTTCTCCAGGAAGCGTTTTGGCAGCGTGAACCTGCCGCTCGGGCAGAGGAGGGAGAGGTTTCCTCATCCGTCTCCTGCCCGTTACGCGCTGGCACGCACCTCCCGTCCCGGCGGCTGCGGGGCGAGGCTGCCTCCGGCCCGCTTCCATGCTCCCGCTGCGGCCTCCGCAGATTCGGTCGGCCTCGCTGAGCGTGGAGAAACGCCCCTGCCCGCCCTCGCCTCCCCAGGGCGGGCTCCTGCAGCAAAACGCCTCTCGCAGCAGCGTCCGAGCTACGCAAGGAGAGCGATGCTGAGCTGGAGGCTGGGCAGCACCGCGCGACCCACGAGACCCCCCTCGGAAGAGGGCAGGGGACAGGGCGGGACCGCCAGCCCCACCGCGGCAGCGCTGGCCCGTCGGCAAAGATCCCAGCTTCCCGCTCCTGGAGAGGGCTGCTGTCCTCCCCCGGGGCGAAGCCAGATCCTGCTGCGAGTACGAGCCGCAGCCTCCCTGGGCTGGCGCCTCGCTGCGGCGCCGTTTGCTCTCTGCCAAACTAATTAGATGCCGGAGCTGAAAACTTCAGCGCTGCTAATTAGCGCCTTCCCCTTGAGCTCCAAGGAGCTTCACCGAACAAATGACTCTGGCAAAGCCTCTCCTCGAAGGGTTGGCTGGGGCCGCTGCGTTCCTCGTGCCTGTGAGGCTTCGGTGCGATCTGAAGGGCCGGCACCTTCCGAAAGAGCCGTTCCCGTAGCCAGAAGCGGGAGCTGCCGCAGCGCTGCCGCTGTTCGGGGAACGCATGTCTGCGCTGCGAGCTCTGCCCAGTGAACACTGCGGGGGTCAGCACTGGTTTTGACTGGAAGGCAGAGCTGTAGATCCCGTGTTCTGTGAAGGATAAATACCGCAGGGGTTGGATAACGCAAGACCGAGCGAGGAAAAGCTGCTGGTGCCGCCGGGAGCTCCCCTTGGCGCCGGACGAGGGTGCGAGGGGAGCTGGCAGGGAGCAGCAGTTTGCTGATCTCTCCTCTCCGCCGCAGGCGTCTTCCTGGGGCTGGGGCTGAGCGGCGTGGTGCCCACCATGCACTTCACCATCGCCGAAGGGTTCGTGAAAGCCACCACCGTCGGCCAAATGGGCTGGTTCTTCCTCATGGCCGTGATGTACATCACGGGCGCGGGGCTCTACGCCGCCCGCATACCTGAGCGCTTCTTCCCGGGCAAGTTCGACATTTGGGTGAGTGCGGGGACGAGGTGGGGAGCGGCCGGGGAGCGGGGACAGAGGGTGGTGAACCCCCAGGTGAGGAGGAGGAGGAGGAGGAGGTGGTTGGGGGTGTCCCCATGCGCCCCGGCGCGGCCGCTGGCAGCCAGACCTCGAACGGCTGCTGCGTGCACGGGGTAAAGTACAGGGTGGAGCGAGGACGGAGGGAAAAGCGGAGCTCAGAGGCCAGTCCTGGGGCAGCGAGGAGGAGGAGGAGGAGGCGTTCCTGGCGTTGCTTTGTCGCCTTTGGTCTGGTCTAAAGGGCTTTTTTCGCTTCTCCGCAGTTTCAGTCGCATCAGATCTTCCACGTGCTCGTGGTGGCTGCGGCCTTTGTCCACTTCTACGGGGTGTCGAACCTGCAGGAGTTTCGCTACGGACTCGAAGGGGGGTGCACAGACGACTCTCTCCTCTGAGGGCGCCTGATTTTAGTACAAGCTTCCTAAGTGCTTTTTAAACTCTGTCTTTGCTAAAATCAAAGGAAGACTCAAAACTGTTTGGGGTTGTTGGTTGTTTTGTTTGGTTTTTTTTTTTTTTTTTTTTTTAAGGAGAAAAAAAAAAAAAAAGAAACAGCAAAATTCTTCAGCAAAGTTGTTGACCAAATCCTCCCCCCCTTCCCCACGCACGGGGCTGAGGGGAGGCCTCGCCTCCTCCAGCCGTGTTTTAGCTGCACCGGGGTCCTCCGACTTTCCCGCGGACACCCTTTCCGAAAGCAGGGGGTGCGGGACCCCGCTCCCGGCGCAGCCGCGGCCCCCTTCCCCAGCTCACCGCCGGAGCGAGCGGAGTCGCGCGCGCCCAGGGCCGGAGATTTCTGCGTATCCCTCGCAGCGCAGCTCGGCAGCCCCCGCTGCTGCTGCCCAGGGCACAGATTCACTTAACTTAAGTTTTAATTGTCTTTTTGTTTGTTTGTTTGTTTTTCCTTGACAAAGTAATGTAAACATAAATAAGAGAATATTTAATATTTAATACTAAGCTTTAAAAAGCCTTGCTGCCACCGCGGTGTACTCGGCTCCCTCGCTGTCTGCGGCAGCAAAGGAAGGACGGGGTGGTAGGGGAACGTAGAGCTGCTGTAGCCGATTGAAATAAAAAGGTCCAATAGTTCCATGTCGTGCCGGTGGCGTCCGTCTCGTTTTTTGGGGTGGGCATAGAGAGGAAACGGCGCCGGGGGTGAGCTCGGAGGGGTGCGTCCCCTCCAAGGCTGCCGGGCTGAGCGGCGGCGAGCCAGGACAGCCCCAACGGCGGAAATAAACCATGGGAAAATCACGCGTGCTGTGCTGGTGACGGGGGAGGAAACCCTTCCTCGGCCGGGCGCTGAGCTGCCTCGCTCCCAGGCTCAGCACCGCCAAGGGGAGCGAAGGATGGCACCCGAAATCAGAGGCTCCCCCTTGGCCGAAGCGTGGGAGCGTGACCAGGCGGTCAAGGGGGATTAGAGGGGAAGAGCTGAGCTGAGCAAAGCCGCTCCCAGGCGGGCGAAGCCCGGTGCCTTGCAGAGCGGTGAGGCCGCAGCCCCTGGGCAGCAGCCGGTCACCGGCGGCACGTGTCCCCGCTCGCCCTGTGTCCCCACTCGCCCCGTGTCCCCGCGGCTCTGGCGGGAGTCACCGCTGCGGCAGGGAAGGGTGGTGCAGGGGCCCCTTTTCTGAGCTGGTTGGATGTGGCCTGGCTTTGGGGATGGCGAAGGCAGGGCCTGGCTGGAGCCCCCCCAGGAACCCCGCCGGTTCCCCCGCTGCAGCTCCCCCTACGGCAGGTCCTGTCCCACCCCGGCCGGTCTGCTCCCAGGGAATCACAGAATGTCCTGAGCTGGAAGGGACCCACAAGGAGTCCAACTCCCGTCCCTGTGTAGGACAACCCCAAAATTCACCCCGTGTCTGAGGGCGTTGTCCAAATGCTTCTTGAATGTCGTCAGGCTCAGCGCCATGACTCCCTCCCGGGGGAGCCTGTCCCAGCGCTCCACCACCCTCTGGGTGAAGAACCTTTTCCCGATGCCCAACCTAACCCTCCCTGGCAGAGCTCCCTGCCCTTCCCCAGATCTCCCTGCCCTTCCCTCGGGTCCTGTCCTTGGTCACCAGGGAGAAGGGATCAGCGCCTGCCCCTCCTCTTCCCTATGAGGAAGCTGCAGACGCGCTGAGGTCTCCCCTCCGTCTCCTCCTCTCCAGGCTGAGCAGACCAAGTGCCTTCAGCCGCTCCTCGTACGCCTTCCCCTCTAATCCCTTCCCCAGCTCCGTGGCTCTCCTCTGGACGCTCTCCAGTAGCTTTGTGCCCTTTTTGTGCTGTGGGGCCCAGCACTGCACACAGCACTCACGGTCAAAGCGGGACAATCCCCTCCCTCAACCGGCTGGCATTGCAGTGCTTGATGCTCCCCAGGGCACAGCTGGCCCTCTTGGCTACCAGGGCACGCTGTCGGCTCACGTTCGACTTGCCGCCGACCAGAACCCCCAGATCCCTCTCCGCGGGGCTGCTCCCCAGCCTCCCGTTCCCTGGTCTATACGTACACCCAGGGCTGCCCCGGCCCAGCTGCAAAATCCGGCACTTGCCCTTGTTAAACTCCATATGGGAAGCGGTGGGGGGAGAGACCACCCCAGCTGCCGCTTAAATACGGCTGGGAGAGGGCTCGGCCAAGGCGTCTCGCCTGCCAGCCACCCCCACGGACAGCTCGGCGGTGCGAGCGCCGCGGCGGAGAAGGAAACCCTGGAGCTGCCCTCAGATCTGAACAACACCCGAGTGCTTTAATCCTATATAAAGAGCACGGGCAAACATCTGGTGAGGAACAGGCAGATTTGGGTCCCCAGGGGAGGCTCCGCGGCTGACGAGAGCTGGGTGTAACTCAAATACCAGAACTCACCCGCTCCCCTGCGGCTGGGGTCTCAGCCGGGAACAGGAGAGCGCAGTGGCTGAGTGACACCAGGCAAGAAAACTGGCTTGACAATTCGCCCCAGGAACCAGGTAAGCGGCAAAGCAAGACGAGCCTTCACACACACACACACACACACACAGCGCTTTTGTGCTTCAGGTTTTTGAAAATCACACACCAGCAACAACTATCCGAAAGGGTACGGTGCCGGAGACGCAGGCCCCGGCAGTCCCGGAGCGGTTCCAGGACGGGCAGGGGGTGGAAACAGGAAAATGTCACTTTTACAGGATGACGGGATAGAGACTTTCAGGATCTCCCACTCGCACGCACGCTTCGTACAATCCTAATTCACCCACTTGTCAACCATTACTGCGACCGCTTCTGTGGCATTTTCATCCTCTCCTCCCCCTACACGGCTCTGACTTAGCTTCCCGATGGAGCGCAGCGATCACACTCCTTCCCGGGCAGAGGAAAAGCCACAAAGCGCCTCAGATAACATCACTCGCCTTTTGGAATACGGATATTCTACCAGGAACTGTCAGCAAGCAATAGGATTAACTAGTATTAACAACAGAAAAACCTCTCTGGATATGATTTTTTAACTGCTGGCAAAAGGGAACATGCCTCCACAACTGGAGTTTAAGAACAAAACCATGGAGCAGATGTTTTAATTGTGCTCAGGACCGGATCCGAGGGGAAAAGGCAGCAGGCACGCGGGCGCAACGCTTCCCCCTCCAGCCCCGCGGGCCTACGTGTTTTCTGTTTTGGGGCTCCTACACGTCTCACCGCAGCTCTAGGAGGGGAAGCTGCCTGCGGGGTTCCCTTTCCAGCCTGCTGCCAAAGCCACAGCAAGAAGGAGCGAAGAAGGAGTTTGCTGCCACCTCTTGCTAAAAGGGGCTCAAGGCCTTGTGGGTTTAGGGGAAGGCGGAGGTGTGCTGCAGCCTGCGGATCCACAAAAGGCAGATTCTGCTTTAACCAAAGAACTCGGGCTGCGTGGCGGTAGCGTAGAAAAGAACAGCAGCGAAATATATATTGCTGGAAGTAATTTTCACTGGTTTGCACCTTCTCCCAATAATACTCACTTTAGGAATGTAAAACTGCGTGTAGATGAATTATTTTCCTTAAGCTGAAATATGTGTAGCAACCTAAATCCGACGGGGAAGTGGCTAAATCCCAGCTGCGTTCACCGTGGATGGTCAACGCCACATCCCAGAGGAGACTCCAAAGACTTTCACTTCGGTCCATGTCCAAAGGATGACAAGACTCCATTCGGTCCTTGTCTTAAACCTCCGTGTATTCTATCAGACATGTATTGACATTACAGCAATGGAATCTATCGTGAATAAATAGATTTGTCATCTTCTCAAAGTTCTCCTTTGCAGCTTTACACTGAAAAGTGCTGAAGGTCCTCTTGGCATGGTTTGTGTAAGAGACTACCACCGGCGTAAAGACATACCGCATCTTGGTCCTCCAGCATTTTACGTTACAGCTCAGGTACAATAAGAACGAGGAGGATGAGGATCATCACTGGTATTGTCTGTAGTCGCCGAATGGAGTGGGCTGCAGCTGGGAGGGGTCATCTGAAATCTGAGGGCCTGCGAATAAGGCAAGAGGAAAAAAGGCAAATCATAAATACCGAAAGACGAGAGATTCTTCCTGCTAACAGCATGAAACACATCCACAGCATTTTTAATATAACCCCCCTCTAAAATCAATGAAGCCAATAACGAGACTTTACATTTGGGGTTTTTTTTCATTCAAAGGAGTTCAAGAGCTTCATGCCTTGACGAGAGCCTCAGTCCAACACGGACCCGATTTTTATCTCCTTTATTAATGGGGAAATGAATCAGAGCAGCGAGACGGAAACGTTTTCAGTCACCTAAAGGAGCTGGAAACCTATGCCTCGTTGCCCTTCAGCTGAACTCAGCCGCGCTGTAAAGGTTTACCCACGGTAACTTGCCCGACGATAAAGCAAGCCAGCGAAACGGAACAAGCCATTGTGGAGCCGGCCTCCCGACTCCCCTTGCTGACGCTCTGCTGGAGGGCAGCAATACGCTTACTCCAGGCCAATTGTAAAGAGAAGAAATTGTAACGGACAGGTGATACCCTTTCTCTAAAGCGGATTAATTTTAAAATGTCTTTGTATTCCGAAGAGAAATTGTTGTCATTTAGGTTGAATAAAGAACGTCAGTGAACAAACCTGAGAGAGGAAGCCTCGCAGGAGTTACTGGCTTGCTACTAATCCTTTCAGCACTAGTGGTTTTGTCTGTATTCCTCCCAAAATAAGGTGGGGTGACAGAGGTATTAAGTATTTTGCACAGGTAAGTATTGACACAAATGGTTACCGACTCGGCTAACTGACACCTCAGCTTGCATTTTACTTAGGGGGAAAAAAAAAGGGGGATCTAGTTTTTGAAGCAATTTAGAAAAAAAAATAGCTAGCCTGCCAGCACCATCCCTCCTGCCCACAACTTGCTGCGCGCTGTTCCCTCAAACCTGTTGTGGCACCCAGCACTGACTAAAATACTGCTGCCACCATCTGACAGGTTGCGTGGCTGCACCAGGGGACGGGGACAGCAGGGACGTCTGTTTTCAGCCACGCAGCCTCCAGTCGCCCAGCGGGACAGAGCCGATGATATTCCTGTCTCATCAGAAACGTGCGGCTCCTCCTTCATTTTCTACAACCTTAGAAGCTGGCAACG